GGTTGAGATCTGGACTGTTTCCAGGTCAATCCAATACCTTCACTTTGTTTTCTTCAAACCATTTTTCGCATTTCTTGGCTGTGTGACATGGGGCGCCATCATGTTGAAAAATAAATGGCTTTCCCTTCCCAAAAATATCATGGGCTGAGGCGTAGCCTAACGTAAGTACAAGCCTGAGTGCTCATTATGCAAATTTCATTTATGAGGCAAACGCATTTTGTTTACATATATGTAGTAACGTAAATAAACAAGCCTTGTAAAGTGTTTAAAAATTTTATTAAACATCTAATCATGAAACGTTAACATTTTTCTGACATTTTTATGCTTAGTGTTTGTATCATTTTTCATTTTACAAAAATTATTTAACAAACAATTAGTAGCACTATACAAAATTCTATTACATATATCAATTTCAGCATGACCATTATCACAGTCTGGCCAATAACTAAATTCATGATCATCTAAAATTGAATTTGTTATTTTGATAGCCATCATTCTCTGTCTTTGTTCCTCTAAATATATTCCAAAAGTATCCACTTGTTAATTTCTTTACTACACAATAATTATAGGTTACTAAATCAATAATAGCTTTCAAACCACCCCTGTCCACATTAGCAATGACAGAAAATGAAGGGTCCACATCTTCCATTGATCTATCCAATGACATCAAGTCTTTACATAATGGACACCAATTAAGCTTTTTCAGAGCTATATGTAGACAATATCCAGCAACGTATACAATAATTGGTTTTTCATCTTCCAAGTCAAAATCATTTTCATCAAGCTGTAAATTTTCATATTTTGATGGATCCAGGAAATTATCATTGACATCTTTACTGGATTCATCTTTAATAGTCTTTAGACAGCCAATTAATTTATTTTTCAAAACACTGGAGATTCTTAATTTTTTTTCTGACTCAAAGATTTGTCTAAGTGATACATTATAATTAGTTCCAGACAATTGTCTGTATAGACCAAACCTAGACTCTAAAGCATCCGTTTGGAATTTCCCCAACAAAACATATTTTAAATTAAATTCGGTACAACAGTATTTACTTGCCTCTATTAGAGCAGTAGTGGTGTGACGTAAGGCAAAAAAGGTTTCTCTCGTTAAACAGCCAGAGGTAGTTTTCATCTGTTTCCAACTGTCCAACCAAAATAAAAATTTTGTCAGGTAATTTATGCCACTATCATCTATAGAAGAATTGATAGGATTTCTATAATCATCTCGCTTTATAATTCCTGCATTTGGAGTTTTTACATTAACAATTCTCCACCACCTCAAAATTATTTCAATGAAATGGGAAGTTTCTAAATAGTTAGGAAGATTTTGTTTGGGTCCTAATTCCTTCAGAGCTTGAATAACAAAATCTGAAAATACACGTAAAACAAGTTTCACATTTTGTTTTTCTATGCTGTTCGGCCATAATGATTTGACCGTTAAACCATATCTATGTTTCAACAAGTTTCCAGATTCTATTGTCTGTAATTCTGTAATTGTTTTGAAGGATGCAACCATAGAAACACTAGGATCATCAAATTTAGGAAAAAAGAAGGAGACAGTGTCATTTTTTGGTTAATCCAGTTGTTTCTGATACATTTAAAAATGTGAACTGGATCTATTATATAAAATAATGGTCTGGTGTTGTCAGATGGATGAGGATAATTAATATTTACATTTGGTGGATTGGAAAACATTGACATCGCTTTCTTATTGATAGCATTATTATCTGTTATTATGCTAATAACTTTAAAACCAATTTTTTCTAAACCAATAAGAATTTTTTTACATATACTAAACAATATATCAGCCGATGGAGAATTAACAGGGAAGATATGAACAACATCTTTATAAGGAGACAATAAACTGTTAAGCATAAAAACTTGAGCAGTTGTTGCCAAATTATTTGAAGATCCACTTTGTCCCACAATATTACCACCCTTATAATCTAAATATGGTTTAAGATAAATTTCATCAACCATTAGCATTACCTTTTTGTCTTTCTCATTTAAATATTTAAATTTTTTAGACATGTAATGCAGACACTCTTCTCCACCTTGTTCATATTCAGGTCCTAGTCTAAAAGAATTACAAACTTTTCTGATATTGGCTGGATGAGGCAAAATTAGGCAGCCAAAGTTTCTAACATATTTGTAACCTTTAGGTGATATTAAATGGAAAATACAGGAAAATATAAAAGTGTCATTGTGGTAACGACGTCGTTCTTTATTGTCTGATATCAATTCCAGTTGATTATAAAAAAATTGAAAAAAAACTTCATTATCTTGGTCATTATCTTTTACAATTTTTAACAATTCTTTTAGGTTTGACAAATTATCCTTTTTATTGTTGAAAAGACCATCTCTCTCTTTTTTTTCAACTTCATCCAAAATAGTCGTTATATCAAACATATAATTGACATTTATCGGAGACTCAATATCATTAATAAATTGTAAGCGAACACTTAAAAAACAATTTCAGTTCTAATTCCTTGTTTACCACGAGTAGATATACTATTTCTGTTGGTACATCATGTGATAAATTAAAAAATAAGATATCGCTGTCTCGACATACGACATTCCAAAATTTAGAAAGTTTAAGTTCCTTTACTTTGTCGCACAATTCAGAAAAACTATTTATTTTGTTTTTTGTTAAATATTGACTGTGCTCCATCAGACTTTTTGTAATTGCATTGTCAATATTCAAACTTTCCATTCGCTGCCTCTTTATCCGGCGATACCCTGAGAGTTACTGATGTGCTGTAGTAGTCTGGGCATCCAGGAAATATTGAAGGAACTGAATCTTTTTTTAATCTTGGCCTCTCGAGAGAAGTCAAAATCATTTTTCCAGATTTAGCATCAAATGAAGATTTTTTAGTAATGATGGCCTCAGCTGGAAAGTGCTTTTCACATACCTTAGAAAAAAAAATATAATTATTATTTGTAATTAAATTATTAATAAAATTAATAAATTTCAATAAACATTTCAAATAACATAGCTATGTAATGTATTATAATTTTGTAACAATGTAAGGAATTTAGTTAAAATCTGAAATCCTGGTCATGCACTTTATTCAATAGATCATGATTACTCGTGAATGCAAAGTAGGTTTCCAATCTTTTCTCGGAATTGCAGATATCCATTTTTGAAACATGTGTTCATCTTTAGGAAAACGAAAGGAATGTACTCTTTTTTTGGGCGACCAATCATGTTTTTTGATAGCACTCATAATAATTTCGCCTTAAAAGTTAAATAAATTTATATTTTTATTCAAAAATTTATTAACCCATTAACGCCCAAATTAATTTTTTTTTCAAAACAAACAAAACAACAAAATTTACATATTATTATAGTTCAAATTTACTAAAAAAATTGTTCAAAATTTATTTGAAGATAGTTTGTTCAAAAAAAGGTGATCTATAAATAGATCGCTGGGCAGATGAGTAACCTAAATTTAAAAAAATTTTTTTTAATTTTTTCTATGATATTTCAAGAAGCAATCCGTACAAAGTGTGACGTTGCATTTAGTGCAATAGGTTAAAGGACGACTTTTGCAAGTAGGATATTGGCATCGTCTTTGGTTAGTTCGTTTATCCAGAAAATGACCTTTTAGCAATAAAATATATTTGTTACAAAAAATTGAGAAAAAATTACCAGGCAGTATATGGCGTTGCACTATTGGCATAAGCGTTGCTGCGTCCCTTTGTGGCACCTCCACAAGAAACACTTCTTTTTGTATCTTTGTCGAAGCCTCCAAACACCCACCTTTGCGTAAAGGGCCTTGCGTGACCGTTTCTCGTTCGTGTGGCACACGAGACCAGAGATTCATCAATCTTGACTACGTGTCCTGGCCCACCCATTCTCACTGGGTTATCTCTAACCAGTGTTGTTAAAATACTCACATATTGAGTATTTAAATACTTTGCAAATACTTGGTCAAAATTCAGTATTTAAATAGTATTTAAATATCAAATACTGCTACAGGTATTTAAATACTGGCTACAAGTATTTAAAAATTATTTTAAATACCATGCAGTTTTCATTTGATACTAAAATTTGGGCGTTAATAAAAAAAGGATCACGAATTAACAAATTTTTTATTTTTATTATTTTATATACACCCACATCACATTTTTGTAAATCTCATAAATGTTTCCATTTAAAATGAAAAAAGACATTAATTCATAAAATTCACCAATAATGTTGGTTAACTTTAAGGAACAGTAATGTCTCAAACAGATCATCAGATAAACGATTATGCTGTTTAGTTAGAATAAGAGCACCTGAACTATATAGACGTTCAACTGGGGCACTTGAAGGCAATGCTGTGTTATATCTAATGAAAAGTTGTTTAATCTTTTAATGTTTGTCTAATATTTTTAAATCTTTATCATTAAGATATTGAAAATGTTGATGCGATTGTTCTGTGGATAATTCATCATCAAAGTCAAAGAACGTTACGTTTCTGTTTTACTGTCATTGATCCTGCTTTTATAACTGTTCTAAAAATTGCAGGCATTTTGCCCTGAGTTTTAAATCATCTATCCACAGCAGTTTAAAGCGAGGATGAGTCACTGAAGCAAGTAAAAATTCTTTATCACTAAGATAAATACCAAAATAAATACGTGGAATAAGGTTAGGTTTCCAACGAGGATTTTCGTTTTTGTCTTTATTGAATGGGTGATCAATATTCAGGGTTTCAGCTAGCTCAAAAGCTAGACAACCTACATCATAAAGAGTGACTTTATAAAGACTTCTTTCCATATATATTGTATATGGTTAGGAAGCATAGGCGTAGCCAGGAATTTTTTTCGGGGGGGTTATGAAAAAAGTAAAAAAAAAAACAAACCGTAAATTTTTATTTTATTCAAATGTTATTATATACTTTCGGCGCAATATACATATGTGAGTGCGTGTGTGTGTAAATCAACGTTAAATCTGCTTTTTCAATTTGAAAATTAAATTCAATTTATAACAAAATTTTTCGTTTTTTCATTGCAAATATATCAACAATATGCTTGGTATCTAAATTAACATTATAATGAATGTTCATTAGAGCCAGGACATTCAATCGGTTTTCTGACGTTGTGTTTCTAAGATAGGTTTTCAGTCTTCTTAAACTTGAGAATGTTCTTTCAGGAGTAGCGGTAGAAACGGGCAAAGTTGCCAAAATATGTAGCAATGTGTAGATGTTTGGGTATAAAATTTTATCGCACAGATCCAAACATTCCAAAGCAGATTTAGGTTTGGTGAAGGTAAAGCTAGCTTTCCATACCTGATATTCAGATAAAATTAAATGTTTATTTGTTTCCGGCTGCAATGATGAATATAATTTAATCAACTCATCCAGACATGTTTCTGACATTGTGTCTAAATTTTGAGGTAATAAGCTTGTCAGTTCCATTATAGATTTTCTATGTTTTTCAAACCTTTCATTTAACTGTGTGATTGTATGGTCTAAGAAAGGAATAAAAAAATTGATTCTGTAATATGAAATAACATCCTCTGCATTAGCGTTAGAGCGATGCATTTGTTTACCAACAATGCGTGGCATCTTCAGATTACCTCAATTATCTTCTAGCAATTTTTTTGCTTCATCACAAAGAATGGTAAACTCGTTATCAGCATTGTTTCTTAACATGCCTAAAACTCTTAAAATATTTTCGACATGTAAGCATGCCTTAGCAAGGTCTGTGTCAGTTGCTTGTAATTGCTTAGAAAGTGGCAATATGTACCCCATGATTTTTTCCAACACTATTAAGCATAGGGGAGAGTGGAGATGCTTGAGACACTTTCCGTCCAAACGTAAACAAAATGTTATGCCCTTCATCATTAAACACTTTTTTAGCATTTCAGTTAGAGCTGGGTCTAATGAATAAGATTTTATAACCTCATGCAACATTGTGAGTCATTCTAGACGACAGTTTCAAAAGTTTTACAGGTACCTAAATTATAAAGTCTTTTAATGCAGTGTTGTAATACTTTTTAAATGGACCGTAAACAGTACGATCAAGAGGTTGTAGTTTGTGGCTACAATGAGGAGGGAAACTGAGCATAACTATTCCGTTGTTCTTGGCATAATCGATCGCTTCTATAGACAAGTGTGATTCATGGTTATCCAAGAGAAGGAGCACAGGTGTCTGAATGGAACATCTTACCTTGAAAAACAATTATTGATTTGAATTTACCTTAAAATATGTAATTTGAATAACAAATCATTATTTCTAAACAAATTTATAATTAAAAACTCACATGATGAACAAAATGTTTCAGATACATGAAGAAGCTTTCTGAAGTCATCCATCCACTAGGATGACTAGTTCCTATGCAGCCAGCAGGTCCAAAATTTATAAAATGACTTTTGAAATGAACCCTCGGAAATATGAACATCGGAACATATTAACCAATGGCATTAATAGCACAACAAACTGTAACCAGTTTGCCTCGATCCTCACTACCCGTAATTGCTCCAACTTGCTTTTGTCCTTTTGGTGATAAAACTTTTATCGCACCTTGAACTGTTGTGCAACCAGTTTCATCGATGTTATAAATATTATTCGGTAGAAAATTATGACGAGCCTTTACGTCTTCTAGATTTTAAAAAAAGCAGCAACATTTGTTTTATAAAAACAAGACGCTCTTCCCATTGACGTTGTTTCTGGTTTTCGAATTGAAATTTGCGTGTTTCGTTTCAAGAAACCATCAAACCAATCCTTCCCGGCTATCTGTCCTGAATGCCAATTATCTGGAGTATTGTTCTTATTTTTAATAGCCATTTGATATGCCAGTTTTCTCATTTCCATTGCCGTCAGACCATAATACATCTTACATGATGTAATTAAATAATTACAAAAAATCAATTCTTCTTCTAATGTGAAAACTCTCCGATTTCCCCAAAAACCAATCAATCATAGGTGAATTTTCATTATTTGCAAATCTCTTAACATATCGGGATAATGTAGTTTTGTCTATCTCAAACTGTTTGGCCACTTTTCTCAACCCTTCTCCATTTTTTACCATTAGAACAGCTTTGCGTACAATTTCCATACTATACTTCCCTCTTTCTGTTTTTCGAATATGAGTTCGTGGCATGTCTTCCAAAATAAATATAATAAATTAAATAATGCTAATAAAAATAAATAAAAAAAACAAATAATTTATGTTTTATTCAATTAATTTATCAGATAAATTAATACAAACCAACCTAAATTTATATTTACTGATTATATAACTAAAAGGTAAAGAGTTATAATGAACACATAATAATTAATTATTCAGGGTTGATTGAGATGTCTCATTCAACCCTTTAAATGATTGTCTCAACCATCCCCAACTGAGGTTTAGGTTATAAAAGTTCTATTAACTTTTTTATTGTCATTGTTTAAGTGACAATATTATACGAGAAGAATCGCTAAATAAACAAACTGTATTTAAAAACGAAAAAATGTGATCACCTAAATTTTACTTTCGAGGTCCAAAAACAGTTTTTTCAGTCCGGAAACTAAATACGTGCATGAAATTTGATCCGNTTTTAGATAAACATAAATGACATGATATTCGACAAAGATAAACTAAAAGAGTACCCTTAAAGCGCATAATTTTCTTATTATTGACCTGTCCCATCCAACCCTTTGTCTCAACCATCCCCACTCTCCCCTACAACAAAATTAGAAGTACGGAGAGTATTCATGAGTTGGACTGCTTGATGAGAGGTTTCTTTATTGTGATGATTTTGTAGTTCATTAAGAGCAGCCATTATCGCTGGATAAATTTCCTTAAAACGTATGACGGCTTCATGTTTGTGTACCCATCTTGTTTCACACATAGCAAGTTAACTTTTTTGGTGGTTTGCTGGTAATGTCAAAACTTTGCATATATTATCTTTTAATACAGCAGTTCGCTGAGGAGAATACTTGAAAAAATTACCAACTGCTTGTACAATACCTACACAGTTTCGGATTTCTGACCGTGAGCATGAATCAGCAATGGCAAGGTTAAGAGAATGTGCACTGCAGTGTACATATAAAGCATGTTTGCATTCCTTTTGTTTGCATAATCTTGTCCAACCATGTGAGAAAGCTCCAGACCATTACTTTTAATATTATTAAGAATAACATTAGCTAATCCAATCCCAGTGACATCGGTAACTGGTATATATCCAAGAAACATTTTCTTGATATTGTGGTGCTTGGCATCACCAGAATCAACAACATAACGCAGACAAAATGACATTTGCTCAACATTTGCAATATCGGTAGTTTCATCTGCTAAAACGGCAAAAAAATTAGCTTTTTTAACTTCCTTGATTATCACTTCTTGGATAGCCGCACCACAAATCTCTATAATTTCATTTTGAATTTGCGGACTTGTATAAAGAGCATTATTTGAAGCATTTAATAAATGTTCAGATAAGATTTTATCTCCAGATTCAGCACCATATTTTAATATGGCACGAAAGTTGCCCTCATTAAGTAATGATTCTTCTGGTTCTGAAGAAGTCTGTATTCTTCCTGAGTCAGATTTTCCCCTCAATGGTATGCCTTGTTTTCCACATAAAATGATTGCTTTCACTATTGATGTCAGTTTGCTTTTATTCTCTTCTTGTTGCCGTTTTCTTTCTGAATTTATTTGATCAACTACGGATAAAGTTTTTAAAGACATCACTTTAAAAAAATTGTTTGCTAGTTCAGAATTTCTCTTATGATAAGAGGTTTGTGAGTGTGCTTTAAAAATTTCAAGTGCATCTTTCCACTTGCAAAAAGGTTCGGATATAAGTTTACCTACATGCTGATGACTTCCTTTTCCTTCAAACGATCTACCCATAATGACGCAAATTCTGCAAAATGCTCCAGTATTTACTTCTGAATATGTAATCCAAGGAAATCGATTTATCCAGCTAAGTTGAAATTTCAAATTTCGTTTGGTAGAAGCTGGAAATTTATAATATTTAGATGGCACCCAAGGTTCTTTTAAAATTTGAATTTTAAGAGAATCGTCCATATCTTTATTACAATACAAACCAATGTCTAATTTAGCTACAATTACGTGGGGCTCATCTTTAAAATCAGAAACAGGTTCTGCTTCTATAACAGACTTTGATGGTGAAATATGATCTGTCGCTACAGTTGATGTTGAAGGTATTTCAATAGTAGTAGCTACTCGATCACACCATTTTTTCCAGTATATCATGTTGCTCCCAAAGTTATCGCCTTTTCTTTTTTTGTTTTCTTCCATGTTTCTTGAACAATAATAATAATTATTGCATAAATTAATATAGAAAAGTGAGAAAATATGAGTTTTATTAAATTTTGTAACTTCGATCTAGCTGTTCAAATTTTAAAATGCTTAATGGGGCTGTCCGTAAAGTAACAACAACACACGTTTAGACGACATTTTCCCCGAGATCGGGGGTTGCCGTTTGGCTACCTATGATGAAACCGAAATACCCCTCGACGCCATCCACATCTGTCACTCGCCTCAGTATCACGCAACCCCGCTTCACCCTCTTCTGCCGGATACTGAGGGCCATTGTTATTTCCGTCATCATAAGTATTATTTTTTGGCTAGTTTTTACGCAGGACGCCCTTCCTTACGCAACCACAGTTATAAGCGGTGGGCCTAGCCTTTGATGATCCAACATCACTCACAAGGCAGTGAGGGTCAGTTTAATGTCATAGTCAGGACATAGTTTAATGTCATAACCAGGACATAGTTTAATGTCATAACCAGGACATTCCGTCCGTAAAGTAAAAGGAGGAAATCCCATTGGAAGAAAAATAATTATTTGTGACTTAAAAAAATCGTGGCTACGCGGTTATTCTTCGAATAATCTCAATTTAATCTAAAATAAAATTTATTTGAGATTACATTGAAAACACCGATTAAAATGATATTTCTTACTTCACTTTGCGATTTTACAGAAAAAACGTGACATTCTTTCTTCACAGACAGTTCCAATTAAAAATATTTTATCAAACACATTATAAAAATATTTCTTATGGTTATTTTAAAGACAAATTTATGAATTGAAAAAGTAAGTTAAAAACGATTTAAACTACCTGCGAATCAATAAAAATTGAATTTTGATCGAATCAGATATATTTATTTCGTCACTACGCAACACAACCGTCATCAAAAAGAAACACCGGAACTACAAACAACGATCTACTCATTAATTTTTTTATTACCAAAGACAAAAGTTAACTATTACTAATATTTGACAAATATCGTGAACGAATCGTTAAAAATTTGCAGTTTTAATTTTCATGGTAATTTTTAATTTATTGCAAAATACACTTTTTTTCGTAATTTCGGGGGGGTTTGAACCCCAAACCCCCCCCCCTGGCTACGCCTATGTTAGGAAGTTCAAGTTCAGTTGAATCAGAAAGAGTCATGGCAAGGATTTTAGAGTTAGTGATTGAGTGTTTTTTTTTATCTCTGTCGACGTAATGTTCGCGCTGGAATACCAAGTTCTTGTCTTACACGAATCAGAGATTTTCCATTTGCAATAGCTTGCAAACCGGTTGCAAGCAACTCTTCTCCATATTTTCTTCGTTCGGATAAGTAAAAACCGAGAAAATCCATCAAAACTCATCTCGACTCTGCAAAAAAATAAAATATCAAAATTAACTAAGTTCGGTATGTTGTCTAGCAATCTGAAAAAATATTCTAACGCTAAATTATGAACTTTTATGTTCACTGCAGCCCGATCGACCACCATTCGTTATAATTTTGATTTTGAATCTTGTCTTGGCATAAATTTCAGCAGTTGTCCGAAAAAGTCCATATACAACTACAAATTTTTTAGCTTAGCAGCAGTACCTCTAGAATGATCACATAATTTTGTTGTCCTGGGAAAAAACATAGATGCACTTTAATTATGTGCTTATCTACCACCGTGGTTGCATCCTGACCTTCCTAACATCTCTCCTATCTGACAAAATGATTATTTTGCGTTTATGTTTTTTTGACCAAATTTCAACAACTCGAAACTTTAGTTTCAATTTTATTTAACATTGAAACGTCATTTTTGGAGCCTACGATGTAAAACCATTAAAAAAAGTTAATAGATATGAAATATAAAATGAAATATTAGATTTATAATTATTTATGCGTATATTTTAAACATGTGCATCTTCTTTAGGGGAGACGGGGGCCGAATGGACCGCTTTTTTTTGTCGCTCACTAAATATTTTTTCTTTGCTCAACAAAATCAGCTATCGCTATTTTAATAACTGATCTTGATTTGTCATTATCTTGCACAGTTGACGGTATTTTTTTAATATTTCCAAATAACGTAATTTTTTTATAATTTAATTTTTAAGGTGGGTTGTTCCAATTTTTTTGGTGGTCCATTCGGTACAATAGCGGTGTACTGGATGGACCGGGTAAAGTACCAAATGGACCATTAAAGAATAGCAACAAATTCATGGAAATAAACACATTTGAAGTATTTTTAATTGAAACAAAAATTGAAATAATAAGATTATTCATGTATGCAAAATTCGCAAATGTAATCAACTGCACTAGAAACACTCGTGCAGAGCTCGTGAGCCCACTTGGCACAATTTCTGCAACGAAACCACATTTCGTTGTCTCGGCCAGCCTCACCACACATGACGCATATGTCCTTCTCAGCATATAATTGTCTTTTAATTTTATTTTTTTTTGTTACTCTGTTGCTCTCTTCGGATATTTGATTTTTTTTATTTTGTTGCAATTTCCTTTTGTTCATGATGGGACGTTTTTTTATCTCTTCA